ATACTGCGCATGGCACCCATCATGTAGCTCTCAGTCAGACTCCAGGCTGAAGCATGTGAGGATCTCCAATGTTTCTTAATTCTGGTCATTCCTATGAGGCGTTGACCACAGAGAAGACAGGTATGTCGAGCCCGCTGAAGTAGCCTGACATGGTTGAGAACATCCGGGAGGGGTGCAGCTAGCCATTCATCGTCAATCTCCAGATCTACCTCCGGAAGGCCTGATGGAGCAAGGGGAGGATCGTCTCGCTCTCTGTCGAGGACCTCCTGCCACAACACTGCCGTGGGTGTCCGTCTGGCAGCTGCCGTCTTGAGGACCGCACAAGTTCCGGTCGCGATGTGTTTGCGCAGCGAGGCAAAGTCGTACAGATGCTGCCTGCAGAAGCGGCATTGCGGTAGGCCATGTAAAGCGTGATCCTTTCTGCTAAATGGTATTCCGGATCCCAGATGAATCTCAGGGTGACGATGTTTAGTATGCATGTCCAGGCCTTCGACGGTACCAAAGCCCACACCACAGACCTCGCAGATGGTGCTCCGAGCCTGGTGAGGATGCAATCTCAATTAGCCCCCAATCACGCTGTGTCGAATGGACTGCCTCCAAAACCTGTATGCGCTGCGTGACTGCATCCATCTCTGCCTGCACAAACTCCTGGCTGCGGCCTGTGTCGCGCTGAAGTCTGGCTCGAATAGCAGAAAGCTGATCGCGGAAGGCCTGCATCGGATTCAGTGATGCCATGGTCAACACCTCCTGATTCGAAACACCGTGCTGGAAAACCCGCATAACCTTCCGCAGCTGAGAGCAAAGTGTGGAGATGAGAACACTGTATGAGTGTGGCGTGATCCCTACGGCGCATACCCCATATCTGAGGGAGGACCACACACATGCAGTGTAGACCCTCAAGCGGTTGGCCTTGGTAAAAGTGCTGTTGGTTCGGAGGACACGTCGCAGTTGATTGAAGTTAGAGGTGGCCTTCTCCACCCTGTGCCTGATCGTCTCGAGCTCAAAACTCCCATAAGAAAGGCAGATGCCCAAGTAAACAAATGAGTCCACTACTGGAATGTACACACTGCCGTTGGGCCCCGCAAACCTGGCTTGCAACTTACCCTTCCATTGAACCAGCTTGTCACGCGTAATGCTATTCTTCCCAGGTCCTTGCATGCTGATCACCAAGGAGGATTTCTCAAAGTTGATGCTGACTCCAAGACTCTGCATGACACCCAGCAACACCTCAATGTCCCTAAAGGCCCTTCGCATGTGCTCAACTTGTCGAACCTGCCATGAACCCCAGGTATCATCCGCAAAAATGCCCAAATGTCGCTGGCTCCAGCCTGCACCCAGAAGAGAGTCCAATCGACGACACAATCTGGCTGTCCAAGCCGAGAACAGTATCGGCGCAATGGGGCAACCTTGTCGAAGGCCCCTACCCATATCGACTGAACGAACTTGACCAGATTGCCGGATATCACACCGCGTGTGCTGATGAACCGAGAGCAAACACTCAACCAAAGCCTGCTGCACCCCAGATTCAATCAACGCGGCATAGAGCTCAGAATGCGGTACAGAATCGAACGCTTTAGCAAGATCAAGACTAATCATCAGCCCTCCTGTGAAGCCCTCTGAATGCCCAGCAAGCAGCCGGGATGTGTGGTCCGTGCGCCGATGTTGCTGCATTTCTCGGACCGAAAGGCAGTGGCTGATAGCTCGAAGGATTGCGTTGTATGTGTCCACATGTGGCCGATATGCAAACTGTGGCGTGCTCCATAGCGATTCAAGAATAGGAGCAGTGGAGTGCTTTTTTAACAGGACAAGAAAGGATTTGGTGTCCGCCGCAGTTAGCCCTACACTTCTCAACGACTTAGGGGTAACCGGGGATTTTCTTGGCTTAGGGAGCCAGGCAAGCTCAACATCACACCACTGAAGAGGCACAAAAGGACTGCTAGAGCACAGCGAAGCCACTGAAATTTGCGAGAGTCTCTGAGCGACAGTGTCCGTATGTGCTTTCCAGACCTGAACCAGAGGCTGACCAGATGGCACCGCTCTGCCACTACGCAGCTGTCCGATGGCCCACCTCCACTCCTCAGCAGAGAACCAATGCGACGGTAGCGGATGTCGAAACTGCACCCTTTCAGAGTTGCCAGAGAACAGTTCGGCCGCGTACGTAGCCAGCAAATCGCACTCAGCACCATGCCCGACCAGCTGCCCATCAGCATCCCTCAGGCGCAGCTTCCCGCCTTTGCGTCCTCCAGCCAGAAAACGAATGCACGCATACAGCCCCTTGGAGTCGCCTCTGTTGGCGGCTGTCTCTGCCTCATGGAGAGCATGGAGAACATGAAGTGCTTCGTCGCGTTTCCTCCGGCGAGCTCTTGTCCGCAAGGCTCTGTGGGGCTTCTGCATATGCGAAAACCGGCGCAGCTTGTCAAAGCATTCGCGAAGGGATTCCACTCGCTGTCCAAGAAATGCCGATCTGGCCGTCCAGAAACTAACCACCGTGTTAGTCATGTCGGCAAGTTCCGGAGCCACAGTTCTCTTTTCTGCTGGGCCTTGCAGGTGGAGCATCGTGGAGCGCAAATCTCGTATGCTGTTGGTGCAGGGGTCAGACCGGCCTTCATCCGCGGGGCCAATCACTGATGCAGTTCTTACAGAGTGCCTCCATGGCTTCCACTCCGCCAATATGCTGCCCTGTAACACCTTGTGCCCGCCTGTTCGCCACTCCGCGATGGGAGTCGCCACTGGGCCAGCCTGCTTTGCCTGCACATCCGAAGCTTGCCTCCGAATGAACACGTAGTCAATGTGCGATTGCGACATGGGGTGCACGTATGTGGGGCGCTTCTTGCCAAATGTGCTGCAGGCCTGTAGCTGATGCCGCATTAACATCCGCAGTGCACTGTCCGCCTCCTCCTTGTACTTGGCATGTGCGTTACAGGGCAAGACTCCGCCTCCAATTACTCCTGGAGTGCGAACGAAGGCAGTGTTGAAGTCTCCTGCCAGTAGAATCAAAGATCTCCTGGGCAACGAGGATAAGCATCTATCGAGTGCCTGCCATACCTGCTTCCGTCTCTTGAGGTTGCCATCCAGTGCTTCTACGGAGCCCACAGCTCGAACGACCTGATAAATCGCCAAAATGTCCAGCTGTTGGCCCTTGATTTCCGCTCTCACATGAACCGCGCGTCCAGCTACCAGCTCATTCCAGCGGACAAGATTTACTGGCGCTTTGGTTGCGCGAAGGCAAACCAGAACCCCGCCCTGCTTAGGCTTAGCTGCCGCTGTGTGTATGCACAACCAGCCGTCCTGCTGCCACTCTCTTGTTTGAGACCAGTGAGTCTCCTGTAAAAGGAGGCAGTCCAGCTCCTGTCTCGCAGCCCAGACCAGTGCCTCAGCCATGACATCAGCACTGAGCCCACCAGCGTTCCATGAGGCATAGCGAATACGCTTACGATGATCTTGTACTTTCCTCGGAAAAATTCTCGACAAATTGGGGTTCGCGAACATCTGTCTTCCCTTGTATACCGTTCGCCCTGTCAGCCTGAGCTTGTCCACCGCCCGCAGGTATGCCTTCTTGACTGCCTGTTGCGATGCTTTGACATAATAGGGAAAATGTGTCTCCGTGTTCAGCGTCCTAGGGACGCTTCCAAGCCCGCCGGGAGAAAGCGAGCTAACCCTCACGCCAGTGCCCCCACCATAAAGCCCTTGAGGTTCGATGTATGGGCACCCCTGGAATTGGGACCAGGACGAGTTGAACATTGGCTCGGTCTGTGCGTTGCCTGAAAAATGTGAACCGCTTGGCTGGAACCAATCTTCGGCTTTGTCGAAGTCAGTCGTTGGCTGCGGTGTGGTAGGTAGCCTCCTATCACTCGGTGCCGGAAGCCCTGGTGGCTGCGTCGTCCAACATGTGGATGTTGTAGGCGCAGTACTGAGGCCTGAAAATGCGCGTACCGAAAGAGCTGACATCCGAGTGTTCTGCGTTTCCTGTTGTATCGGAGCTGTTTGCATGCCCAGAAATACACTGTTGCAGGGATGTGACAGATGCTGGCAAGGAAGCGAAAAGTACTGGGTACTCTCGGTTGCAGAAAGCAAGCAGTTTTTTGTACGCATCTGGCGGCAAGACTTCTCTGATGTCCCGCATGAAAACATCAACTGTCTCTCCTTGCCACATGCAGACGGCCATGCTGTCCGCATCCTGCCTAGCCTGATCTTTGACTCCCTCAAACAGTAGTTCTTCACCCAATAACTCCCGAGCTCGCGCAAGCAGATGCCCTGCGGGCGTCAAGCCCGCCATTGACGCAGACTAAGGAGGCCCCGTTAGGAACAGGTAGTGGGCATGGATGCTGAGGTCACCAAGCGCAATCGGGCACGAATGTTGACTTTGGTTTGGGCGTGTTTGGGCATCCGGTGCTGGGGTCGCCAGCGGGGTCGGGCATAGACGTTTCTATGGTTTGGACATGGGATGCTCTGGTCACGGAATGCTGAGACGAACTGGCTGCGGCTGCAGCTCCTGCAAGTGTCACTACTACAGCTTTTGATTCTACTGTTTTGACTGCTTCCTATTCTACTATGAGGAATTGCAATGATGCCTATGCCTATCTGCGGTTAACTTTTGACGTATGCATACCCATTTCACACTGTGCATGTTGTTTTCATGTTTGAGGTGGTTCTGTCGTTTCTCAAGATTACTGTTTGCATCTTGGCACGCGAATCCCTAAGCCTGATTCCAGAAATTGTGCCACAAGTTGCCAATAGAAGTTTGAATTATCATTGATGGCCTTCCGTTGCAAATCTTGCATAGCTGTACTATACTATACCCCAGAAAACCCAATCCTATTTATTTTGGCCCCTACATAATCGCGATAAGCCCCTGCAACACCTTTCATGTCCTTCTTTTCCTATATGTTCGATTCTCCACGATTCTCACGCTGAGTCCCTGCGTCCCTAAACCCTGAATAATCTGGTAGTGTCAATTGTCTTTTCCAATCCCTTCTCATCTGGTCCTTAAGTCAGCCGAGGTTCATGGCTAAGCGCTGTGACCTCAAGGCTCAGAACGGTGGAATCAACCAGGCGCCAGCCAAGCAGCTTTGTCGGGCCAACCCCCAAAAACTATGAGTTCTTGTTCAGGGTTCTGGCGGAGGTTTCCAGCGCTATAAGGCAGGGGGAAGTGCCAGTATGTAGACGCAGCCTTTTCAACAGCTAACGACGCAGTCAACATTACGATCCGCATGATCACGATAGCTGCATTGCGGCTGCGCCCGCCCCCGCCACCGCCGCTGCCGCTGATGCTGCTTTAGTTTGGGCAGGGGCGACTGCAGGGTCGGTCGTGGTAGGAAGAAGGTAAGGTAAGCAACTGCCTGCAAAAGACCCGCTATCATACTTGCTATGCCAGTCGTACAGACCTTGGGCTGGATGCGTGTAATCCTGAGGAAATCGCACGTTTGGGCAGCTGAGCTTTGAAGCAAGCATGTTTGTTTTGTCACGTTTGGCGTTTTCCTGCTACAAGACGCGGATGGGAACATTTGATGAACTGCCAGCGGAGGACATTGGCGATTGGATCACCGGCGATGCCCCGAGGCCATCTAGTCGGGCATTTTAGTATGCAGCCCCAGGGCACCTGCAAGCCATGAACCCTAACGTTCCCCTGCATCTTGCGTAGTGAATTTTGAAGGAATTCTGGCAATTGACCGGAACAGTGGATTATAAAACTGTCTGCGCAGACGTCTGTTCCTTCGAGACTGGCAAATCAGAGCCCAGCTCCCGTGATGATATGAGCTATAGTTTAAACTCCTGAAAGGAGGGTTTATATAGGGGGTATGATAGGGCTTATTAAGGGGGATACTAGGAGTTTACACCATAGCCCATATCAATCGTTCTATCAAATATGCCGTCGTCCAATCTCCCTGCCCCAATACTGTAGTCTCCCTAGATTTTTTCATGCTTACGATAGTTGAAGCTTTCAGAAATGAACAAAGATCACCAGAATAGAGCATGACTCTCCTCATCAGGTCTTTGACTCCTCCGAGCATCGTGCCGTGAAGAAGCATGGTAGAAGACATGCTGGTGAACTGGCACTTTGGTCACAGACCGCGGGCACCCATGGCCATGTTACAGTACTACGCCGACCTCATATGTAGTTCCTTTTTGGGTAGCATATGATAATCCCCTACCCAAAAACCAGAACAAACCAAAAAAGGAACTACATTGGAGCCCTTGGGTAGGATCATCGGCCCGAATGCTATAGGGCTAGGGTTGCATCGCAAGCTTTTTGCTCCGACATTTGCATGTCAAGAACATCCTGTCAGTGCGTCCTTAGTCACATAGGAGTCGGGAGACGGCTAATTGAAACCTGAACCCTTAGGCCTAAAGCCTAGCACCATTGACACGAATCCCTACATCCTAAACCTATTTGGGCTAGCCTACCTTGCGTTACACATAATGGAAGTTAGCCAGATAATGAAGCAAGCCTACTTCCTTGTAACGTTACTTGCCTACAGCTTTCTTGGCTAAGCCGTAGCGCTGTAAGGTAGAAGCTTGAATAAGAAGCAGCATGATTCCCAGCAATCTGGCCACTTTCGTACTAAGTCAGAGCCCTAAACCCTGCATGAATATTTTGGATTCATCGTAGGCAATTTATTGCTGGACAAGCTCGCGGTGCCAGTTCAGCAGATCAAAAGACCTTCGCTTTCTGGTGCTTAAGCGGGAGCAGGGGAATGCACCCCTATAATTAACATGGGTGGTTTCCCAAAACTTGTGGCGTGGTTTTTTGGGGTTCCCCAGAATAAGGATTATAGTATTGGGGGCATACATATATATATATATAGGGGTCCCCCTATTAAGGGAAGCTGCCATATCCCTTAATCCCCTACAAGGGTTCCTATACTTACTCCCACTACCCCCTGAAGCACCAGTAAGTTCCAGAGCTGCAAGTTGACAGGTCGCCATGTTGGCAATTTTCAGATCTGAGGTCCATTAGTAATATTCATACAAAAAGCAGTAACAAGAATAGTTATGATGTCACTCAAAATGACAGATCTGAGGTCCATTAGTAACATTAGTTAAAGAGTAGCAACAATAATAGTAATAGCATCAATAAAAACAACAATACTTGTAAAAAGTAGCAACTTAAGGGTAGAGCTCCCCAACCACTCAGAGGTCAGGGTTTAGTTTCGAAAGCCGACATCCTGGCGGGAGGGCAAATCTTTGGCGCAAGCCAGCAAAATGCTCTTGAGGCCAGCCGGAGGGAGCAAGCAGTGGCAGGAAAGATGTTGACTACATGCCCCGCGACGTGGCTCTTGATTTACAGTCCCCCTTAAGTGGATAGAACATGGAGTATATGGAGATTTTGTTATGATATACCCAAAGCCATATTCTATCTACTTCAGGCGGACCGTACGGCGTCCTTCCGTCACAAGGTGGCGAACGATGCTGGTGGCGCGCGGTCGCCGAAAAAAAGTGCCGGCAACACATCGGTCAACCGCTTGGAAAGGATGCCAACGACACACTCATGGGGACCCCTATACATCCCTATATGACCGCTATATCCCCTTTTAAACGTACCCGTACTTTTACTTTGTGGACGCCTAATGTTGGGAAACCCTCCAATCCTCCCAGGTGCAAGGGTACAGCTCAGGGGTGCTGCGTAGCAAAAGGGGGAGGATGCCCGGCGAAACCTAGGTGCCCAATGACGGAGAAAGGATGCCAACAACATGGATACCAAGTCGCAAATTTCAAGATCTTGGGATGCCTGATAACGATAATTCGAATAGTAATAGTAAGAGAAATCGTAATAGTAACAATATCAATCATAGTAGTAATAATAATCATAGTAAGACAAAAGGAACAACAATAGTTGTCAGCTGCTGTAGGCTTACGAGCGCCCTTTAACGGCTTTAGGGTTTAATGTCTAGGGTTGATGAAATCTGAGACATGCAACAGAGACCTGCATTTCTGACAATTATCTAGGCATTTCCAGACCAGAGGGTCCCCCTTCTATACCTGCAACATACCGAATATCATAGGCACTTCTGGAAAAGGGGGACCTATACTTTCTGGAAAATCCTATCTAGACCTCAGCACACTCCCAACAAGATGCCTCAGAGCTCCGAAATAGGAGTGATGAGGTGGTTCGTTGTGATGTTCTGATGTTGTATTTTCGAGCAGGGCCTCAAGGGTCAGAATTGTAAAAGAGGCCAAGAAGGCCAAAATGTGTTGGAGCTTAGTGTAATGAGGTCTAGGTATCAACGGGCCGTCCAACTTCGGCAACGTCCGACTTGAATTCGAGAAAATCACACGCTTCTCGCGCATGATGCCGTGAGCCGTTGCTGGGAGAGATTTGCGTAATGCCTGACATTCTTGAGTCGGCACGTAAGGTGGCAGCAGCACCAGTGCTTGCAGCTAAAGTATTTTTGTAGTGACACAGTGACACAGCAGGTGCGAGTGGTAGTGATAGCAGTTCCGCTCGTCACAGTTGTAATCCCCTCCCCCTAATATGAATCCTGCCTGGATGATAATCAATGCTTTGCAAACAGGCCGAGACTCTGCCATTCCCTTTACGTTTATGGTGTGTATGGTGTCGCAATGTATGAGAACTGCAGAGAAAATCTTATTGAATTGAAGGATCCGCTTAGTTTGCTGGATGCTTGTGCTGTGTTTTGATAGCTGTTTGAAGGCACCTATGTACAAGAGTCAAGAAGACATTCTACGACAATCAAAGGTTTCCTGAACTTCCTAGATGCATACTAGATCAGATGTAGTTATTTCAGTAGGCTGTGATAAAGGAAGTTATGCAGTTCGACCTGGTTTCCTATTTTTGCTTTGATTTTCTCATGCAAAGTCAATAGACCCCTACATGGTACATATTCCGACCGGCTTGTATTACGGTTGTCCTTACGGGAGACGACGCTTATCATCAGAGGCAAACGATTACTGGGCGAAGCTTGGCCATTTGGGTTCCTTCAATCTTCCTCTTATCCTTTACCAAGTCTAGTTTGGGTACTGCCTCCACCCAGTAACAGTCTATACTTGGCGTAATGGTAAGGGCAATATATGAATATGTAAAAGAATTCAGGGTTTAGGGCATGTTGTAGGAAGCAAGGACCAGGCATTCAGACACGTTCGCACATGGAAGTGGCGGTTTACGCCCTGAACAAAAAAGTCTAAGACTTGGAATGGTGCAGACTGTAACATCCCTACACAACCGTGGAGGTGCAGCGAAGCGAAAACCATAGCTGAAGGACTTTGTACGGAGCCGTGCAAGATCAAAAAGCAGTGACCCAATCTTTAGATGAAGCCTCGGAATCAAGACGCATGAGCTTCTAACATAAAACTTTGCCCAAGAGGCTTGAGAAGTTTGAGATTCGCAACGCAGTCGGAGGTCGAATTAGCGTTTGCGACGGGAATTTCGCACGGCATCATGCGAGAAGCTGTAGCAACAGTATGAACCTCTTGCAAGACCAGGCAGACTGGCACTACGTTTCATGGCTGCAAGAGAAAAGGCCTCAAAGTGCGGGACAGGCTGCTACAAATGGGGATTTCCTAAAGCTACGGGTACCATTTTGGGGTCACCATAATACAGATTATAATACATTGGGGTCTAGATTGGGGGCCCTCTACTTCGGGAAACTGCCAAATACCCACAATCTATAGGCCTTCTTTTTTTCACCCCCAAACCATAGATAGTTTTTATTCTGGAGACTCACAAAGAGGATCCCATGAAGGTTTAGGGCTTCAATGGCGAAACCCTGAACCCTAAATCGCAATGGCTGGTTCCGAGTGGATGCGATTACAACACGAGGAACTAGAGAATTCTCTTCATACCAATATCAAGCAACCCCCTCCATCCCTAATACTCAATTTATCCCCGAGCATATAATAGAAGGTCTCATACTGGGAGAATATTTAACATTAGGCGCGGGGATGTTGGAAATTCATGTGACGGCACTGAAAGCTGTCAATGTCCCATGATGCACCAGGGTAACTGGAACATTAAAATCCTTTTTGCAGGGACCCCCAAAAAAATACCTCCAGTTTTGAGAAGCCCACATTACCGGTCCACACATCTCAATGGG